CTTTTTATTTTTTATTTTGAGACAGGATCTCACTGAGTTGCTCAGGGCCTTGCTAAGTTTGCTAAGGCTGGCTTTGAGCTCACGATTCTCCTGCCTCAGCCTCCTGAGTTGCTAGGATTATTGCACCAAAGGCCCCGGAACCTGTGTATTGTTTTTAAAGCGGGACATTTAAATGTGCAAATGTGTCTTCTTCCTTCTCCTGAAACATTGGAAGGTCAGACAGTGCTGGGATGCTGATTCCCACTAGACAACAGTCGGCTGGATTGAGACAGCCATCAACTTTAGACAAGATATGATCTTTGCCCTCACTTGATTGACTGATGTTTCCTACTCAGCCCTGGGACGCATGAGCAGGTCCCTTAGACAAGATTCTCCTCCCGAGACCTTCCAGCTCTCTGTAAATATTCTCCTTGGCTTTTGAACTTCATTATTGGTTTTGGAATGACTATTTTTTTCCTGGTCTTTCAAATCAAAATATGTCTTCCCCCTGTGCAAGGTCCTGCACCAGTAGTCCCCAAGAGAGCTCCCCATTACCTGGGAGCCTGGCTTTCAAGACGCCTAGGGGTCTGCTCTATTCTGAGCCTGAGAACTGGGCAGGAATTTTAGAAAAGCATAGATGGATGAATGAACAGATGAAGGGAGAGAGGGAGGGAGAAAGAAGAAGGAGGGAAGGAAGCTCTTGGGCTGAAGGAGAAGCACAGCATACCCAGAAAAGACTCCATGAGCATCCAAGTCCCACATCCCCACAATGCAACCAGACGTGGCCCCCAGGATCAGGAGCAAGGGGTCAGAGCTCGGTGTGGATGAGCCAGAAGTGGGTGACCAGATGGCTCAAAGACAAACTCTTCCCAACTCAGGCTCCAGCCCAGACACGACATCATGCATCTCCTCGGTCCCTATCTCTTCCTGCTTCTGGGTAAGGCTGTGGCCCAGGCGGGTACCTGGATTCTGGGATGTCAGCCAGTGGGCACTGGGGAAAGAGGACAGATCTGGGTCAGAAAAGAGGAAATGTGGGGTGGGCGGGCAGGCAGGGTGTACACACAGAGAGAGAAGCTTCCCTCTCTTGGTCTTGCTCCTCTGGGGTCTCCCCATGTCTCCCTCTAGCTTCAGAGAGAACTCTATTTCTTCAAAAGCTCTCCGTAGCCCTAAATAATGCTTTCTGATCACTGTCATGGGTTTCAGAATATTTGGCTTTCTCTAATTCAAATCCGTGGATCTTCGAACACCCCGCCACCTTCTATGCCTGGGAAGGGGCCTGCGTCTGGATTCCCTGCACCTACAGAATCCCAAAGGCGGATGCACAAGTGGACAGGCTTGTCATGTTCCACAATCCTGAGTACAACGAAACCATCAAACGCTACGTGGGGACTGTCCTCTATAATAACACAGTGAACAGGAAGTCCCCTTCTCAGCAGGGAAGGGTACGGTTCCTGGGAGACTCAAAAAAGAACTGCACCCTGAGCATCGAGTCATTGTACGTCAATGACAGCGGCCGGCTGGGGCTGAGGATGATGACAAAGGACGACAAATGGATGGACCATGTAAACCTCAGCATCTCTAGTAAGGCCTTGGGGAAAGGCGTCTGCTAACCTCAGAATAAGGAGGGGGGCTAGACAGAATCAACCACTGGGACAGGAGTCACAAACTGAGTTCCCTGCAGAGGTCAGGCAAAGGGATGCCCTAGCTATGTGATGGGGCAGCGTAAGATGGGCCAACTGCAGCGTGAGCACTTGTCCCTGCCCCTCCGCCCCCGCCCATTCTAGCCATCTGGGTTCCAGGTAGCCAGAGCTTCTGGTCTTTAGATGGAGAGATGAATTTTCAAACGAAAACTCCCCTTGTGTTAATGTTGGGGACCAATTCTAATTAACCTCTCAAGGCCGGATGACACGCGGGCAGGGTGTGGATGTGACCCATCAAACGCAGCAAGGGGCCTCTGCCCTGGCGAGAGTGGTCACGTCATGCCTGTTTCTTTGGTGGTCAGTTCTAAGCAGCGGTGCCTGGGTGCATATTGAAGCCATTGAACAAATAGAAAGGTGTCACCAAAGCTGAGAAATACACATTGAACTAAACTTGTTCAATTCACCTACGGGTGGAGAGAGTCTTGAACTTGAAAGCCATTTAGAAAGCAAACATCAGCAGGTCAGAGAGAAAGAAATGGGAAATACATCCCCAGAGAGGCTCAGGGTCCCCAGGGAATGACAGAGAGTATCTCAACTGAGTCAAGAGGTAACTGATAAGGATTCCTGCCCAGGTTCTTTGGAACGGGACCTCTAAATACAGGTGTAAAAGACTGGGATGGAAGGTCCCCCGGGCCTCTAGAACTGTGCCCACTCTTTTGCAGAATCTCCTTTTCCACCTCGCATCCAGATCCCTCCAGAACTTCAGGAGTCCCAGACTGTCACTGTGACCTGCTTGTTGAACTTCACCTGCTTTGGATATGACATTGAACTGCGGTGGGTCCTGGAGGGGCTCCCCTTCACCCCTGCTTCCTCCACCATCTCCTCCTCACCTACCACCCAGAATGTCTCTACCAAGAGCCAGATCGACTTGAAACCGGAGTGGACTCACCACGGGAAGAACTTGACCTGCCAGGTGTGGCATTCTGCCGAAGTGCTCTCCGAGGAGACGGTGCAGCTGAACGTGAAGCGTGAGTCCCCCCCTCCCCCATACACCATGTTCCCACGGGAGTGACGCAGTCCTTGCCACCTTCTCCCTAATGCCCCATCGAGCCCCCGAAGGGTAAGAGGAGCCTTACCTTACAGAAGGATGCACAATCCATCTGCTGCCCGCCACCTGCAGCGTGGCATTGCC